CCCTAGGGCCCACCTTCACGGATGCTCTAGAATCGGTTCAGGACAGGCACGTGCATTTATCCCCAAGGCACTACAGCCCCCAAAAGGCGTTGCGGCAACCTCTAGGCTTTTACCACCAAAGAGAAAAGGTTTTTCAGCTTGAGCTAGCGGCTGCACGGCTCTTCGGGAATTGTAGTTCACCTGCGAAGAGCCAAGGAACCAGGGCAAAGCGTCGAGCCACACTTCCCAGAATGCACAGCGCTCGTCTCTACCAATAGGAGGCGCGGATCTTGGAAGGAAGGCGGGGAAGAGGAGGAGCTGTTGAGCGCATGCGCAGTATGTGTGGCTGGAGAATTCATGTGGAGGTCAGAGTGGAGGCAGGTGAGAAGGTAGGGGAATGGCTATGGTCCGCGTCTGGGCAACTCTGCAGTCCCTTTCTGCATTCCCATTCGTAGTTTGGGCTAGCGTCGTGCATGCGTGGGTCCGCCTTGTGGGAATGGGGTAAAGGGGTGAGCCCAAGACGAGCCAGGAGTTGCGTAGAGTAAGGGAGGTATGTATGGGGGCAGGGTGAGAAATAATGCAGAAGCTATTAGAAATGGAAAGACTGAGTAATAAAGGCTGGGCGTCCTGGCCCTGGGATAGGAATGTTTAAATGCAGAAAGAGAGGGCAAGGTAGTCTCAGGAATTGAAGTCTGGGAAGAAAGGAGGGAGGATTTGAGATTGAAGTGCACGGAGACCGTGGGGCGGGGTATTCAAAAGTGCTGGAGTGGATTCTGGTTGGATCAACTGTGCTCCCGCCCATCCCGCCTCAGCCCTACCCTCCCAATTGTTCTTTGTTATTTTGGTCCCAAAATGTCATCTAGCTCTTGTTTCCATAATAACAGGTCATTCTTAATACCTGATGTTGAGAAGCAATATGATGAGGAATTAAGCTGTGTCTTTTAGAATTAGACCTCCAAGTTCTAATCCTGGTTCTGCCACTTAATAACTGTGATCTTGCTTGGACAGCTCATGTAACCCCTCTGTGTGCCTCAGTTTCCTCATCCGTAATAATCTACTTCATAGAGGTTGGTGTGAGGATTAAATTGCCAGTAGAAGACTGTCTGATATAAAGGTTAGCTATTATTATTATTTTGCTGTGGGAATCACCATGTAGCACATTCTTTGGGTTATTATTCCAAACCAGAATTGCGCAGAACCAGCCACACAGCCTTTGTCGTTGGGGCCTGCTTGTCCAGAAAATAGGAGGGTGGTTTAGTGTGGTACTAAGTTCCCTATGGGTATTAAGCCCATGCGTCATTCCCATTATTGAAGAAGTGCTCCAGCCCCCTTTTCTTAAGTAGTAGAAAAAGAAAAAAAAAAAGCAGAGGAATTGATACTACAATTTTCCAGGCTGTAGAGTGTTATTTATTAGGTGTCTTTTAGTGAATGGTTTAGAGATCTCAGAAATGGGGAAATAAATAGCTAGCTTGAGAAGTGAATATTCTGCAACAGAGAGGGCTTTCTTTGAGGATTTGGGGATCAAATTGTTTTGTTTTGTTTTTACCCTCTTAGGTGTGAGTGGGTCCAGCAGAAGGAGACATGGCTGCTAAAGTGTTTGAGTCCATTGGCAAGTTCGGTCTGGCCTTAGCTGTTGCCGGAGGCGTGGTGAACTCTGCCTTGTATAATGGTGAGGCACTGAAGGGTGGTGGGTCATTGCCTTGTGCTGGAGGATTTCTATTGGTCTACACAGCCCATAGGACACTCCTGATGGTAGTGATGCTGTCTGCGAATGTGTTTGTGACCAAGAGGACTCACCTACTGCCATTCCACAGTATATGGTTGCATTGTCATCAGAGCCTCTGTTCTTTTAGCCATAGGTTCTCTCAGAGCCTTTATTCACAAAGAGCCTACCAACCTGGTTGCTGGTTGGATGTTGCCAGCTGCTCTTGTTACTTTGAAGTGATGCTGCACCACCCAAATGCTGCAGCAGAGTGTCAGGGCCTCACCGGCTAGCTGAAGTGGAAATCTCATTTGTCTCTTCTGCTTGCATGTGGAATAACTCAGCAAGGCTTTAGAACTGTAGTAACCTTGTCCTGAGCAGGAGCTTTTGCTCTGCTGCAGTTGGTTTGTTGCAGAGAAAATATCTTCGAGATGCATCGCATAGCTTTTAACACTGTGGCAGGGGTTTAAGCTGGCTTTTCTTCTATTCTGCCGTCTGATTTTGAGCAAGTCACAGATTCCTCACTGGTCAAGCAATGGGATTGAACTAGTTTATCTTTAAGCCCCCATCCAACTGCGATATTCTCTAACTTTCACTGTTGGAAAGCAGCAGTGGATTGACTCACGTCGTGTGTGATGTCCAGCAAGAGGAGGATTCATTTCAGAGTGAAGATATTTGAACCAACGCTAATGTCCAGAAAGGCAGACACAGAAAGCAGATGATCTGAAGAGCCTGCTTGGCTTATGTGGCACAGCTTTATACTCTGATCTTTTTGGCTACCCCCGCACAACTAGACAGTAATCACTATCATCAGTTTCTCTCGGAATCAACAAGACAACTCTGTAACCCTTTGAAACCTTGGAGAAGCAAGCTATTAGAAAGAAAGAGTATGGCCTTCCAAGTTTTAGGATTTCCATAGTGGGGGTGCTACTTCTGGGAACACTGGGTTACATTGGAATTAGGTTGGACTGTGGTAACAGTGAAGACCTTGGGGAGTTTTAGAAAGAAGTTTTGGGAGATGATTTCTGGAAATGTGTTGGTGGGAGCTTGGGGATGGGGTGGTTAATCAGAAAACCAGCAGTCAATTGTTTCAAGGAGAAAGGATGCTGAGGAATAGATCCTATTACCAAAGTCCTTGGGAAGACACATGGGGATGGGAAGTGGTTGCTTAGTTTTGTAGCTATTTAGAAGCCTCGAGAGACCAGAAATACAGGAAGACAGAGCAGGAGAGGGGAGACTTAATAAATGGACAGAAAGCACCAAGAATCTTTCAAAAGGCATGATTCTTTTGGGTAAAGGGTGAGGGAATTTTTCTGACCTGTCATCTTTCATTCCTAGTGGACGCTGGGCACAGAGCTGTCATCTTTGATCGGTTCCGTGGAGTGCAGGACATCGTGGTAGGGGAAGGGACTCACTTTCTCATCCCTTGGGTACAGAAACCAATTATCTTTGACTGCCGCTCTCGACCACGTAATGTGCCAGTAATCACTGGTAGCAAAGGTGAGTCTTGCCTGTGGGTTAGGTAGAGAGGGTGGAAGGGGTACTATGGGATCCAGAAGAGGTTGAACTTCACCTAAGACTTCCTAGTGTATTTTCTCTGGAGAGTTTTATGTGGATCCAGAGGAAAAAATACACACTTCAGGTACACACACAACTGCACAAATTTAGAGAAATACACACAGATCTATTTCAAGAGTTACCTAGTGATCCAATTAAAGAAATCTAAGTGCCTTTGCTCTCTCAGTTGACCCTTTCCGTTGGTTCTTGTTCCCCAGAGTGACTATATAAAGCGATCTCTAGCTATTCTGTTTGCCCTCACAGCTGACTTACCCTTTGCCTTGCTTTCTAAGACCTCTCTTTCCAGCAGCGCTGACCTCCCATCATTATCTCACAGGCTGAGGCCCACATCCCTGAGAGCAGACCCCTGGTGTCCGACACCCCAATAGATTGTCAGTTGGAACCTAAAATGAATTGCTATCACTGTTTGCCCCACCATCCTACACACAGAGGTGCACAGGCAGTAAATGGAATAGCAGATGCCGGCTCAGAAGTGACATTTCCACAGCAAGAGGAGAGGGTCACATGGACGTTGGTTTATCATCTCGATAACACTTGATGCCTTCAGTGCTATTCCTCAGCACTGTGACTGTGCTGGGTCGGAGGGTGGGATAGTTCAAAGATGACGAAAGCAGGGGCCTTTAGGAGCTCAGTCTAGCTAGAGAGAGAGACTTGTGAACAAACAGGTCTGGTGGAGTGTGTTAGAGCCAAGCTCGTACGGAGTGTCTGGGGAGCAGAGAGGAGAGCAGCTAGCTCCACGGGCGGCTGGGCAGGCACCTGCAAGGAACTAACGTCTAAGCTGGAACTGTAGAGTGAGCAGTGTGTCAGGCAGAGGCGGGAGAAGGGCAAATTGGTATTGCATAATCTGTCTTGTATCTTCTGGCCAGAGAGAGGAAGGAACCTCTGGTAAAGGATCTAGCTTGCCTACTACAAAAGAGGAAATCAAAGGTGGGATGTCCTCTGAGAAACATAAAATCTAAACTTCCCATTTCTTTGGGATTTCTTTCTCTACTGTTTGGCAGTTATTCTAAGGATACATTATGTTCTTATCTTCAAAACTGTCGATAGAGACTTCCAGAGATCAGGGACTTGTGTGTATACATTTCCCAGGTTTCTTGGTGCCTGGTTCAGGACTCTGTCTCAGTAGTTGGTTCATTTTTTGATGACTACAGGAAGCTGTGACATTACTTTAGCTCTGAGCAGGCCTGAATTGTCAGGAGAAGTTGGATTTCCCTTCCTGGGTCCTTTGACCGGCTGAGTAATGAAAAGTGGGCTCTAGATGATTCTGATAGCCCCTTACATCTGTTGCGCTTTGACAGAGTGCTTTTATATTTGTTTTCTTCATCAGTTTCCCGCAATGTGCCTGGAAGGCAGATGAAATCATCTCCATTCTTACAGACAAGGAACTAAGCTGAGATTCACTAAGGCTTAGTGAGGGAGGTCACATAATTAGTAAACAGCAGAGTGGGACTGCAGCCCAGGCCTTTTGACTGCTCGTCCAGTCCAAAGTGGACTATTTCTGCTGAAGCCAGGGAAACTTCTCTAAAGCATGCTCCTGACTTGGGCCATATTCACCAAGCCTTGGAAAGGCCTCACCCTAGAATTCTTGGCATTGACCTAGCTGTTTTCTTAAAATATTCAGTGTTCCAAATATCCCATAGTACCTACTAGACTTATAATCTTAATTGCTTATATCAGAGGGCATTCAGGACATACCGAAAAGCCATCGTCACTGGAAACCTTTAAGTTCCTAACGGATCCTCTTCTGGGTTCCCGACCAAGGAAACCATGCACTTGTGCTCCTTGCCCTCTAGGGTCCTATAATCAGCAACTTTACTTATAATTTATAGCAAATTTGGGGTAGGAGAGGTCATATGGAAGGCCATTGTGATTTTTATTTTTAACTCCAGCATTTGTCTTCCCTAAGATTTACAGAATGTCAACATCACCCTGCGCATCCTTTTCCGGCCTGTTGCTAGCCAGCTTCCCCGCATCTACACCAGCATTGGAGAGGACTATGATGAGCGAGTGCTGCCCTCCATCACTACAGAGATCCTCAAGTCTGTGGTGGTGAGTGGACAGGGCCTCAGCCACAAGCCGAGAGCACGGCCAAGAGAACACTAGGCGGCAGGGAGAGCTTGGCAGTGGGCGGATTGGATGTAGCTGGTAGGTTCTCGGTTTCCTTTCTGCTTCCTCATTATCCTGACCGGCTCCTCTGCCCTCCCTTGGAACCAAAGGCTCGCTTTGATGCTGGAGAACTCATCACCCAGAGAGAGCTGGTCTCCAGACAGGTGAGCGACGACCTTACGGAGAGGGCTGCAACCTTCGGGCTCATTCTGGATGATGTGTCCTTGGTAAGATCCTTGGGGAGCCTGCAGGGAGGGGCTTCAGTGCTTGTTGAGGTGCCTGGTTCCATTTCTAGCTAGACACTCTTAGTTTCTGCCTTCCACTTTCCTAGATGTGAGACTTGAAAGCGTGGAAACTTCGTGATTGGGTTTGTTTTCAGACAAGTTTCTTTTATTTCACCTCTGTCACACACATTTTTCTTTTGACTTGTGGCCCTACCCTCTTGGGTAACCTAACCGTGAGTTTTTTTTCCTCGTTCCCCAAACCATGAGTGTTCCTGAGATCTCAGGAAGTGATGTCTTGTTAACCTTGTTTGACACAGGAAGAAGCTGCCCGATGAGACCAGAGAACCACTCGGATAGTCTTTCTCCCTAGTGCAGACCTCCCAACCTGACCCCTGGGAGTTTCCTAACACTTAGAGTCCAAAGCTCAGTGAGGTGAGCTCTGAGAACCCCAGTGAAAGGTGATAGAGTGTAAGTGAATGGTTCTGTTCCCCAAAGCCTGGTATGGGGGGCAAGGGACACCTCTGAGGCATAAGCTGTCCTCCTGAGACTGCATATCTGTGTATTTATATGATATTGAATGCCATAACTCAGGCAGAAAGCAATACAGGTGGGATAGCATTTCAGATTGAGGAGGCAAGGGGCAGGGTCATGTTTCTAGATTTCTGGGAAAAAAACATTTGGAGCGATTTGTTGGAGTGGTGAGGTAGAGTGTTTCCTGTTCCTGTCTCCTGTGCATCGCTAGGGAAAGGCACCGTTTCCCCCTCAGCATCTGTGCAGCTGTTTAAACAGTCACGCTACAACACCAGGTGCTAGCCCTCAGGCCTCAGCTCCACCTTGCACCAATTGCTGGCAGTTGAAGGGCTTGTGGGCTCCCTCTACTGGCAAGATGCCAGGCTGCAGCCATTTGGCTCCTCTGACAAGCGATTCCTCAGGCTCTCCCACTTAGTTTAACCTGAACACCTTGGCTGTGAGAAAATGCTAAGTAAAAACCTAAGGAGAAGCTTGGCATTTTGCTAGACTTTAACCACATAGTCCGTTCTGGGGAAATGTGGGCTGACCACAAGAAACCATATCTAAGAGGTGTGAGAAGAAAATTAGATTTTGTGGAGAATTTGCTGCCCTCAGCTGGCCCTTTTAGAAAGAAATTTTATTCCTTAATTGCACATTTCATTTTTCATCTCTCAGGATTATTTTCTTCCCCAAACTTTGAACAAGACTCCAAAAGTGGAACAGGCAAAGTGGAACAGTGCAGTTTAAGAGTCAGAAGTGTTAAGAATTCTGGAAGGCAGTGGGACCATGATACTCTTCAGTATCAAATTTTGAGCTACTTATATTAAACAACAAAAAAGCAGAGTTTGGGAGAGTAGAGGAGAGGATGAAACAAATAGAATTTAATAACAAAACCAACGCTATTCTTCCCTTGTATGTCTTCCTTTTTAGTAAACAGTTGGATAAATAAGTAAATCATTCTAGACTAGGCATTAGGAGTTCCGAGATCTTTTCCCATTGTTTCTATCATCATTAGAGACAGTCAGTTCAGCCAAGTCTGTTATTTATGTTATTAAGGAAGGTCTGTGGATAATCAGAATTTTAAACCCTCTCCCGAAGCAATAGCTTTACCTGCCTTCTCTTTTAAACCCTTTACCAGAAGCACTCACTCGTAGGGAATACCATGATTTGCGTTCCACGTTCTGTCTTCCTCTTCCTGTTTTGTGTTGGAGGTGCTGTGAGAAAGAAGTGGACTGGTTAATCTATAAGCACAGAGCATCAGGCTCTTGAATTCCTGAGAACCAGCTGCCTCCTTCACTCTCAGGGGCTCAGTTTTCCATCCGGCCTCCCTGGAGGCGTCAAACAGACCATCACAGGACCTTGGAAGAGTACTAGTCTGTGGTGGGGTCCTAGAACCCACAGGTCTCCTCCCCTAGGGAGGTGGTCAGTTGAATAGATACCTTCGGTGCCTGTGGGCCGTCTTTTACTTGTGATCGTCACACTGAGAGTGGTAGAATGATGTACAGGAGCAGTTTGGGCAGCTGAGGATTCTGGGGCATAAACTGTTTGGACATGGATATGGAGGTGAAAGGGTGTTCTGGCCTCACGATGCCTCCAGCTGCTAGAGCCATTCCTGGCCCCTTCCTTCCAGTGGCCACGGGGGCCTCACAGCCACGCTGTCTAAGCAATTACACTGCCTCATCACACTCACTGTCTCCCCTTAGACGCATCTGACTTTCGGGAAGGAGTTCACAGAAGCGGTAGAAGCCAAACAGGTGGCCCAGCAGGAAGCGGAGAGGGCCAGATTTGTGGTGGAAAAGGTGAGCGTTCAACCAGATGGAGGAGCCTCTCTCCCCTTTCTCTTGTGCTCAGCCTCCTCGTTTGCTGGGTGGCCTGGAAATTCATCATCTGTCATCTCTCCTTCCGGGATCATTGGAAGGGGATTGCAGGGACTGTACTCCTGCAATTGGTTCCAGAGCCTTTGGGGTCCAGTCAGGGATATGTGAAGTAAACGTTCCTAAATCACTGAAGGGTCATTTTTTTTCCACTTCCCTAAGATCAGAAACACTCCTACGAATAAAAATGTTTTTTCCTGTAATATTTTCAGTTTCACTGAGAAGTCATTTTTAACCGTAGTTACACAGTGCAAGCCGACAGCCAAAAGGATCAGACGTTGCGCCAGATGCTCTGCTGTCAGTTGATTTTTTTCCGAGTGCTTAAATCCATCCAGATGTGTCAGAGAGTGATGGGACACAATGTATTTGCATAGCAGCCTGGTCTTCCTGGTCTCTGCAGAGGTGTATTTATTTCTTGCTGTCCCCTTCTCACCGCTAATTCTCGTGAGTTGGTATTCTAATCGAAGACCACTGAGTCCTTAAAATCAAGGAAAAGAGGGATATATGGGTGGCCAGCATTTAACTTTAGAGAATGCAAACTCTGAACAGAGACTTTTTTTTACTTTGTGTCTACCTAAAACTCTGACATGTTTAAGAGTGTGCCTGGGGATCCTAGGTGCTCAATAAACATTTATCGAGAGAATAGTCACAGAGCCTAGCCGTTTAGCTGCTTCAAAATTGTGTGTTAATTTCAGAGAAGCGTGGTACTGTACTCCTCACATGCCTCCGAAGGTCATGCATTATAGATAGAGGTTTTTTTTTTAAGGGAAAGCCTAGGAGATGGCCTAAGAGATCTCATTCTGGGTGCCTGAGTTCCTAGTCAGGAACCACTTGAGCTGGTAGGTTCCTCTAGGGAGTATCACGCATGCCTGCTTTTCCTACTTAGCTACGCTGGTTTTGGTGAAAGTCTTGGGACTTGGGACTTGGGGGAAAGATGAACCTGGGGAATGATTCCACCTTTCCTACTCTTCCATTTTCCTTGGCCTGGGCTCCTCCTGGCTCAGAGTAGGGCGGCCAGACTAGGTTGCTGTGAATATTAATGAAGACTTTGAAATAAGACAGCCGTTGATGCAGGCAACAGAAGTGTGTCCCTACAGTGATGAGAAGTGGGCGGTACAGGACAGGAGGATCAGGTGGCCAGTGTTGACCCCATCCAGAGGGGGAGGCAAATTCCAGGAATTCCTTCAGGAACCAGTATAGGTGCCTAACCTGGGCCTTCGAGGCTGTAGCCTGCCCTCCAAGACCCTGAGGTGTGATCTTGGTCTCTCTCCTCCTCTGCTCTCTTAGGCCGAGCAGCAAAAGAAGGCAGCTATCATCTCTGCTGAGGGCGATTCCAAGGCCGCCGAGCTGATCGCCAACTCGCTTGCCACTGCGGGCGATGGCCTGATTGAGCTGCGCAAGCTGGAAGCCGCGGAAGACATCGCATACCAGCTCTCACGCTCTCGGAACATCACCTACCTGCCAGCCGGGCAGTCGGTGCTCCTTCAGCTGCCGCAGTGAGGCCTGCCCTGCCTGCACCTCCTCGGGCCATCTGGGCCACAGCCCCGAGGATTCTTAACACCGCCTTCCTTCTGCCCACCCCACCCCTCCGCCCCCCCAGAATCACTGTGAAATTTCATGATTGGCTTAAAGTGAAAGAAATAAAAGTAAAATCACTTCGGATCTCTTATTACTCTATCAGACGAAACTGTTTCATTCTTCTCATTTCCATCCACTTTTTTATCCACCTCCCTACCCAAAATTGCCAAGTGCCTACGCAGACCAGCTTGGCTCTTCAGGGCCTGCTGGAGCTCCAGCCTAAACACTGGCAATTGGCAGAAGAAAGGCAGGGGCACATGTGTGATGGGCTGGGGAGCACAGTTGTGAGCCTGAGTAAACGCATATCCTCCAACCCATCATTTACTCAAGATTTGAAGAAGATGGCACACAGTCGAATCGAGAACTCGGGCCTCTATTTTTTCCAGTGGTTCCGGCACAGACCCAGCTGAGGAGAGTGCTGGGGAGTGTCAGAGAGGAAGTGGTCTGTCTCTTACCATAAGGCTGATTAACTGTGGGGCCAGCGGAAGCAGGTGTGTGCAAACTGGGCATGGGTTGAGGAATCTGCCCCTGTGAAGGTGGGTGGGCCTGATTTGCTGCCCCCCAAGGGTCCTACGACTGGGATGGACTTGGATAGTGAGAGAGCAGGCCTGGACTGAGATGTGAGTCCTCTGGAAGACTTCCTCTCCAGCCCCCACCTTGGTGTCTCTCAAATACCCGCCGGAATTCCAACTTGAAAGATTGCATCCTGCCGGGGCTGAATGTGCCTGCCAAAGAAGTGTGCATCCTGCATTCCTGGCTCCTTTGTTCCAAGACTGCCCCTCTAGAGGGCTCTGTGCCTGTGCTTTGAAGGAAAAGACCACAGGAAGAAAACAAACGTGTGTAAATTGCTGTCAATAAATGACACCCAACCTTCCAGCTCAGTCTTCTGGGATTGTTTTTTCGTTTTTTTGTTTTTTTGTTTGTTTGTGGTGGGAGCCATGGGATGAGGACAGAACGTTCTAGCAGTTTTTGTGTGCACGTGTTTGTATTGCCAGCTGGGATAGAATCTCTAGCAAAGCAGAAAATGAGTTTCAGAAAACCCTTTGTTCTGTGTTCCAGTTGCATCCCCAACCGAAGTGAATCTCAGTGCTATCAGGTGAGGTTTGTCAGGAGATGGGTTCTTACGAGGTGTGGGTAAGTGGAAGGTCATTAACTCCCCTCCATGGCTTTGGTACCACTGCTAAACGAGTTGTAGGCCTGCCCACCAAGTGTCAGCAGCACTCCCCTGACAGGAGGGAAGTGATTGACATAAAATACATGAATGTGATAGCCCTCGGTGTGCTCTAGCTTGATTTTTATATATGTCAGATGGCTTTGAGGGCTCTGCTGTGGATTTATACTGCTTATTCTGCTTTCCTTTGATATGGAAATGACATTTGAGAGGGGGCCAAAGTTATGCACTGGGGATGGTAGGGACGGGAAGCAGAACTGCAATTGAGAGATGAGCCATGCCAATCACCCACCTCAAATTCTTTTAGGCACAAAACGGAAACGATGTGCATTGAGTGCTCACGTTGACTGCTTTAACCTCTGCTCTCAGTTTAATCCCTGGGCCCAGCACCTGCCAAGGTGAGCGTCCTCTGACCTGGATTCTGCATTTCCTCTCCTGAGTGATAGGGCCAGCTGTCAGCTGGGAAAGGTGGGAATGGATGCACACATGTAGGGTGGGCCTGAGGACTGAGTTCTCCCATCCCCGCACCCTGCTCCCCTCCCAGGGCCTCTCAGCAGGAGTCTAGTTCCTTCCCATCCCCCCATGGTTAAGTGTGCATTGGGCTCCTGACCCTCAGCTGATCCTCACAAAAGTTTCATTCTGCTGGATGCTCCCACTGGCCTCCTGACGAGCCCATCTCCCTACCAGCTCCCCAGCATCACTTATCTCAGGATGTCTCTTCCTACTTTTTTTTTTTGTTTTTTTTTTTTTGCTGCAAAAATAGGCCTGCAAACGATGGGGTGCCTAGAGTCAGAAAACGTGTTAAAGATTGGAGCAGAATAAGCATAATTTTTAAATAGGTTCCAGACCGGCTTCTACTCTGCGGCCGTCCTCCTTTCCTGCCATTTATGGCTTTGGACACTCTTCTTGGGGGCAGGGGCAGGAGGTTCCTCTCTTCCCCAGGCCCGTTTTAAAAGAGCAGTTGTGTTTTTTGCATTTGGCAGGAGATTGGGTTTCAGGCTCTGGGTGTCTGCAGGGGAGCCCTCTGCAGCTTCTGGGTTCCTTCTGCCTCAGGTCAGCCCTTTCGGGGCAGACAGACCACGGTCCTGCTGGTTTTGCCGTTAGCCTCCCTGCCATGGATGGTGCCAGTGGGAGCCGGGGGCCTCATTCTGCCTTGACTTCCGCCCAGCAGTAATTCTTTTCACAAATGTTCAAGGGTTGTTAACTGGCTGCTTAGTCCCAGAGTCCCCTGATGGCCTCTGGGTTTCTGCAGAAGCTACCACAATGGGCCTTTATCAGCTCGGGATTCTCTGGGCTGTGGATCAAAAGCCACGTCCTGTCTTGGCCAGGGAAGGGGCAGAACAGGGAGGGTCTTCCTCTCTCCTTTGGTCAACCTGAATAGTTCCCTTGTTCAGGCTCCGAGGGGTTGCTTACTAAGAAGGGAGTGGGCCCTGGGCAGGGAGGGGAGAGAAAAACCCTCAAAGTGTTGCCCTTTTCCTTCCTAGTTTTGCACACATTCTGCCAATGTGGACCGATGGGGAAGGAGTTATGTCGTGGTCATCCCCAGGTGGGTTGATTTGAAAGACAGGAAGAGACAATGAAATATCAGTCAAATCCTGATTTAGCAAATGCTATTCTAATAGGATATTCCAGCAATCAGCTGGGGACTGTGCATTTAGGACCTCCCTCGACCTTTGCCATCCACCAGTAATTGTGGCTAAATCGGCCCACCCTGATTGAAAATAACCTGGGTTAGAGGTTGCAGGAGGTGGTAACAGATTTCCCCGCCTTTCCTAGACCTCCATGCATCCTGCACACTGCTCCAAACTTCATTTATCTAAAGCAGATCTCATCTCCTCCCTCCTGAAAAATTTTCGGTGGCCACTCCTTGCTTGCTTAATAAAGTGCAAGTGTCTTATCCTGGCATTTGGGGCTCTCCATGGTCTGGACTCTACTTTTCTGGTCCGACTTTATACTTTATTGCTTGCTTTCCCAAATCTACCTAGTGGTTCCCATGGGGTAGGGAGTGTCATTTGAAAATGCAACTGGAAAGGGGAAGCAGCAGGTGAGAAGGAGGGGAGGTGGCAGGGATACTACCAGACCTACTTTGTATGGGACAGACCCAACGACAAAAAATTGCCCCCAAAGTAACGACAATAATACCTCCACTTCGGTGGGGGGAAAAGCCCACCAAACTGAGTTTCTTGCTCTTGTCTGCATAACCCCTCCCCCATATACTTACCTCACCCCCTTTGCTTACGGTGTCACTTCATCCTGGACGGCCCTCTCCCCACATTTCACAGGTCCAGGTGTCCCCTATCCTTTGATTTCTAGCTCAAAATCTTTCTCTTCCACAAAACTTCTGCCGATGTCCCTCCTCCCTGCCTCCATGACCTGTCCCTTGCCTGAACTGCTAGTCCACACTCCCGTGAGGCATTTAGCACTCTCCTCATTGGGTTGTAGTTATGTCTGCGTTCTCTCTCCTACTCTACGTTTCTGGAGGGCAGGACACTTACACCATTCAATGTTCCTTTCTCTTTTTCCTTCTTCCCCTTAACCACCCCTAATCTTTTTTGCCAAGCCAAACATGCCCAATGGGAAGAACTGAATGTTTGTCAAATGAATAGATGAGGAAACAGAGTACGCGACTGAGATTAGAAACGAGGGCTGAAAGTTAAGGTCTTTGAATTCTCCCACACCATTCTGTTGAGTTACCTCAAGCTACTCTGCACGGGGCTTCTCAGGGTCTAGCAGGCCAACCCACCCACTAAGTACCCACCCCGGTCGATTCCCCAGTCTCATCTCTCTTCCGCTGCCTAGGCTTCCGTGCGCAGACTCTCCCCTCGCTGTCGCCTGCCCGCAGCTCACCCTCTCCTCTGTCTGCAGCACCCCTCCTTTCTCTTTTTTTTTTAAGTTTATTGGGGTAACATATAATACAATTATATAGTTTTCAGGTGTACATTATAATTTGATATCTACATATTCTATTGTGTGATTACCACCCAGAGTCTAGCTTCCTTCGGCTACCATATATTTGATCCCCTTTACCCACTTCGCCCTTCCTCTACCCTCCTATATTTGACCCCCCTTTACCCCACCTACCTCCCCCCTACTCTCTGATAACCATTAGTCCACTGTCCATGTCCCTGAATCTCTGTTTGTCCCGTTCATTTGTTGCTTTTAGGTTTATGTCCCACATATAAGTGATATCATGTGATTTTCAACTTTTTCAACCTGGTTTATTGTGCTTAGCATGATTACCTTGAGGACCATCCAGGTTGTCGCAAATGGCTGTATTTCATCTCTTCTTATGGTTGAATAATATTCCATTGTATATATGTACCACAGCTTCTTTAGCCAATCAGCTATCGTAGGACACTTCGGTTGCTTCCATGTCCTGGCCACTGTGAATAGTGCTGCTATGAACATCGGTGTGCAAATATTTTTTTCAGATATGGGTTTTCAAATCTTTGGGGTAAATATCCAGTAGAGGGATTGCTGGATTATACGATAGATCAATTCTTAGTTTTTTGAGGAACCTCCATACCGTTTTCCATACCACTCCTCCCCTTTTCAATTCCTATCTCTCTCCCTGTCCCAAGCCCAACTTAAAATCCCTTTTCTCCAAGAATTTACCTCTGGCTGAACTCTTCCCAGCTTTCCTTGCAAATAAATTCTTCCTTTATAGAAAGGACATTGGCTTTGGAACTCTGGCAACACTGGGGTTGAAAATTGAACAAAAGAGTTGAGATGAGGCGTTCCCCCACCGATAGCGGCTGGGAAACTTTGGCAAGGCTCACATGCACACAGCTGGAAGAGAGGGAGAATGGAAACGTACTGGGCCTGGGGAAACCCATTTATAGTTCAAAGAGAATGTCTTTGCATGGGGCCCTGGATGGTTAGAGAGGAGGTTCTTTCTAGCAATCAAGCTACTTCAGAAGGGAGAGTGAAGCTAAAAGGGCACAGCTACTCCGGAGGAGCTTAAAGCTGTTGTCATCCTTGGAGGGCAGGACAAACCACCTGGATTCGCCGGAAAAGCCATGATCACTGAAAGGCTTGGACCATCTAAATTTGGCTGAACAAGCTACAAACACTTAGGTCAGGGATTAGCAAATATGGCCTGCAGGCCAAGTACAGCCCAACACTTGTGTTTGTATAGCTCAGGAGCTAACAATGAAGGGTTTTTACACTTTCGAATGGTTGGGAAAAAAGTCAAAACAAGAATACTATTTCATGACACATGAAAATTATAGGAAATTCAAACTTCAGTTTCCATAAGTAAAGTTTTACGGGAATATAACTATGCCCCTTTGTATTATAGCGGCAGAGTTGAATAGTTACAACAGACACCATGTGTTCTGCAAAGTCTAAAGTATTTACTGTCTGTATCTTTACAGGAAAAGTTTGTTGACCTCTCATTCAAAGGAGCCGATAACCTTGGGGAAGAAGAGGAAGAACCCTGGAATTTGGAAGTCGCTGGCAGCAAGGGAGGCTGAGGACTTTAAGTCAGATACAATGTAGTTGTCACCAGAGTCCTTGACTGTGTCCAAGGCTTTGGCGATCTGGAAAGCAAGGTCACACTGGGGCCCTGGCACACATATTTACAACAGCTGCTGTTCTCTATGGCTTGTACGTGTTTCTGAACTGGGCAGAAGATAAGAATAGGGGTAGCAAATAGGTGAGTATTACAAAAGAAGAACCCTATGATGCCCTAAGGTCTGAGGAT